TTTTTTTTTTTATGTTTATTTATTTTTGGGACAGAGAGAGACAGAGCATGAACGGGCGAGGGGCAGAGAGAGAGGGAGACACAGAATCGGAAACAGGCTCCAGGCTCTGAGCCATCAGCCCAGAGCCTGACGCGGGGCTCGAACTCACGGACCGCGAGATCGTGACCTGGCTGAAGTCGGACGCTTAACCGACTGCGCCACCCAGGCGCCCCGAGCTTGAACGCTTTCTTAATTGATGGCTGCTGTTAAGCCGACTGTGGTTAACATTTATGCTTACTCTCTAAAAACGGTTGGATCCTGGTTCTAGAATGCTGTACCTTTTCAGGTTATATTTTACACTTACATTCGAATTTGGGGGTTTTTAGGTAAGTTTACAGTTGAGCTAAAATTCTGTTCTGGGTAACCAGCCGTCACCAGGCTCGTGAGGCTTTTCACCTCCACCTCCAAATCTTCTCACTAGTTTGCAACATAGATGAGTTCATCCTGTAAAGAGTGTTCAGAGGCGCTCGTCTGGTGTCGGGGGGCCTGGCTCAAGTTCTCTTTGTTAGGTTATTCTAGCGAATTCATCACGCCACAGCTACCAGGGGTAATCTTTGCTGTATAGCGCTTTTAATCTTTCTTCTGTCTTTCCCTTACGGCTCTCTCTCTGTGGCGCCAAGTTAAGTTTCTGTCTCCTATACTTTCAAGAATTAACCAAGCGGTTTGGTTTATTGTTTTACGTTAGTTGCATGTGTGGTTGTTTGGGCCAGTTTTGGCTCACCGATGGTCACTTTGATATGCAGTCTTCTGGGTGTAAGCCAGATGCTTTGTTTAAGCTACGTCTCGTTTTATCCAAGCCCACTTTCCAGTATGCTTACCTTGTTACGACTTGCCTCTTGTGTTTTTTTACGGTTCGAATAGATCGTCTTTGGGTTTTGTCACTCGAGGAGGGTGACAGGTGGTGTGTGCGTGCTTCATGGCCTGATTCAATTGAGCTCTCTAGTCTCGATTTATTACTAAATCCTCCTTTGGTTCTTAATTTCATAAGGACTTCATGGAAAGTGTTCTGGCACGGAAAACGTACCCCATTACTTCCCACCTCACAGGTCACGCCTTGACCTAACTTTTTAAAAAAATTTTTTTAATGTTTATTTTTGACAGAGAGAAAGAGAGACAGAGCATGAGTGGGGGAGGGTCAGAGAGAGAGGGAGACACAGAGTCCGAAGCAGGCTCCAGGCTCCGAGCTGTCAGCACAGAGCCCGACGTGGGGCTCGAACTCGCGGACCTCGAGCCAAAGTCGGACGCTCAGCCGACTGAGCCACCCAGGCGCCCCTTGACCTGACTTTTTAATGTTAAGATACCTGTGCTCATTTTTCTTCCTTTTTAGGGTTTGCTGAAGGTGGCGGTGTATAGACTGGATTTGCAAGGGGTGGCGAGGAATATCGGGGCTTGTCGATTACAGAACGGGCTCCTCTAGGCATATAAAGCACTGCCAAGTCCTTTGAGTTTTAACCTGTTGCTATAGTTCTCTGGCAGATAGATTTGTTTAATTAGCTAAGTTTAGGGCTGAGGATAGCGGGCTATCCAATCCCAGCTTGGGTTTTAGCTATCCTGCGGTCGGAGGTGTTAAAGTTACTTTCGTGCTATAGTTGTATGTTACTTGTAGCTTTTGCCAGCCTAGTAAAAGTTTAACAGTAGCGTGGGGTTCCTCTATGACACGCTTTACGCCGTGGGTCTATTAGTTCGGGTGAATCGTGTGACCACGCGGGTGGCTGGCATGAAATTTACCAACCCTAATTCAATATGGCTTAGTCGAATTTTCATTCACGGCTTAATTTTTTATCCCTGCTGTATCCCGTGGGCGTGTGGCTAAGCAAGGTGTCACGAGCTACATTGTTATTGTTTGTGCTTCACACCCGCTCCTTTAGATTATGATGATTGAGAGGCGTTTTTCACCCTTCCGGAGGCTTCCACGTGTAATCCTCTTTAACTAATGGAAAGGCTAGGGCCAAACCTTGGTGTTTATGGAGTCTGATGATTCATCTAGGCATTTCCGGTGCCTTGCTCTGTGTACTGAAGCTACCTTAACGGGGAACACGTTGGATGGGTTGGTGAATTTATGGGATTAGTTGTGAGAGAATATTGCCCAGTCGGTACGGATTAGTGCTCGAGGTGAATCGAGGTGTCACATGGGTATTTGCGACTAATGTTTCATTGGGATTTTGGGTGTATTTATAAAGATTTGTACTTAGGCCTTCTGTTTGGATGTGAATTTAGTCTTGTTTTGGGGGGTTGGACAATGATAAATTGGACAATGATAAATACGTATTCTTATCATAGGGTTACAGGGAGTTGGGGGGTTTTGGTTAAGCCAGTTATCGGTTGGATAAAGATGTGTGGTGTGTGTACATGTACGTGTGTGTGTACGTGTATGTGTGTCCAGTTGAAGCATTAGAGTTAAGGTACATGTCCTGTAACCATTGACTGAAATACACCTTGTTTGTGTGAATGCGGAGACATAGCACAGTGAATTAGCCCAGCGACGAGTTATTTGACTGCGTCGAGACCTTTATGGTCATAGCTGAATCAGAGCAAGTTCCCCCCCACCCCCCCCAAATTTAAAAAATACCAAATGCATGATACCACAGTTATGTGTGATCATGGGCTGATTAGTCATGAGTCCATCGAGATGTTCTATTTGAGATAACTGTAGGATTCACTGACTGGAGGGCCCTGAAGTAAGAACCAGATGCCAGGTTCGGTTCCAGTATAGAAACCCTGAGTCTCATGGGGGCGGGTGATCTCACGGTTTGTGGGTTCGAGCCCCGCGTCAGTCTCCGTGCTGATGGCTCGGCGCCTGGAGCCTGCTTCGGATTCTGTGTCTCCCTCTCTCTCTGCCCCTCCCCTGCTCACACTCTGTCTCTTCCTCAAAAATAAATAAACATTAAAAAAAAAAAAGAAAACACACTGGTCAACTCGGTTTTGTGAGTCCTGTCCCCCCCACCCGCCGCCCACCCCCCACGCTTTCTTCTGGGAGTAACACCCGTGGGAGGGGCGGGGCGGCACTGGTCCTCGGTGGACACCTGTCACGTACAATGTACAACATATCACCTGTTCATCTTCTGGCACGCCACGGTGGGTGCAAGAGTGTCAGCAGCTTCACCTGGTTGTGGATTAGGTCCCCAGAACTTCTTCATCTTGCAACCCTGAAACTCTGTACCCGGTGAGCAGCTCCGTGGCGGATCCCCCCCCCGCCCCCGGCAGCCACTGTTCTACCATCTGTCTCTGATTTTGAGTGCTCGAGATGGCTCACGTAAGTGGAGTCGTACGGTATTTGTATTTTGTGACTGACCGCTCAGCGTGATGTTCTCCGGGTGCATCTGTGGTGTAGCAGGTGACAGTCTTTCCTTCCATTTTCAGGCTGGATAATACCGCGTCGTGTGTATAGACCACGTTTTCTTTACCCATTCGTTGGTCAGCGGACACTCGGGATTGCTTCAACCTCTGTTACTGTGAATAATGCTGCAGTGAACATAGGGGTGCGAAGGTCTCTTTGACATCCTGCTTTCAGTTCTTTTGGGCGTCGACCCGGAGGTGGGATTGCTGGATCCTGGGGTAGTTTTATTCAACTCTCTGAGGATCCCCCATACTGTGTTCCACAGCGGCTGCACCATTTTACATCCCCACCATCAGGGCAGGAGGGCTCCGATCTCTCCCCATCCTCATCCAGTTTTCCCACCACCTTTTTATTTTTTTATGTTTATTTATTATTATTTTTTTATTATATGAAATTTATCGTCAAATTAGTTTCCATACAACCCCCAGTGCTCATCCCAAAAGATGCCCTCGTCAGTGCCCATCACCTCCCCTCCCCTCCCATCAACCCTCAGTTTGTTCTCAGTTTTTAAGAGTCTCTTATGCTTTGGCTCTCTCTCCCACTCTAACCTCTTTTTTTTTTTTCCTTCCCCTCCTCCATGGGTTTCTGTTAAGTTTCTCAGGATCCACATAAGAGTGAAAACATATGGTATCTGTCTTTCTCTGTATGGCTTATTTGTGTTTCTTTATTTTTGAGAGAGAGGCAGACAGACAAAGTGGGGGGGGGAGGGGCAAAGAGAGAGGGAGACCCAGAATCCGAAGCAGGCTCCAGGCCCTGAGCCGTCAGCACAGAGCCCGACGTGGGCCTTGAACCCACGAACTGTGAGATCATGACCTAAGCGGAAGTTGGATACTTAACCAACTGAGCCACCCAGGAGCCTCACCCAGCACCATTTGTTGAAGAGACTGTCCTTCCCCAGTTAAGTGGTCTTGATACCATTGTCGAATATCATTTGACCTTCCACACATGAGTTCATTTCCGGGGTCTTCGTCCTGTTCCATTAATCTGTCTTTATGCCAGCACCACAGTGTTGATTCTGTAGCTTTGTAGTAAGTTTGAAATCAGGAAGCGTGTTCTTCTTTTTCAAGATGGTTTTGTTTGGGCTATTTGAGGTGCCTTGAGGTGTTGAATTTTGGGATGCTTTTTTCTATTTCTGCCAAAAATGCCCTTGAGATTTTGATAGGGATTGCATTGAGTCTGTACATTGTTTCTACAAAATTGACATCTTAACATTATTAAGTCTTTGATCCATGAACATGGGATGTCTTTCTGTTTATTTGTGTCGTCTTTCCTTTTTTTCCCAGCAATTTCCAGTGTCCAGGTCTTTTGCCTCCTTGGTTAAATTTCTTCCTAAGTGGTTTGTCTTTTTGATGCTCTTGTGAATGGCATGATTTTCTTAGT